TCATATTGTTATAAGACCATAACATATTTATAAACGAAATATACATTTAATTTTAATTTAAAAAACTATAAGAGAAACAATTTGTAACTTTTTCCTATTTATCTTTTATAGGAAATTATCAATATGGGATAACCTTTAATATCTTGTCTTAATTACGTGTTTAATGAATGTGTAAGAGCAAATTATATAAATAAATTCAAATAAATAGAATATGATCGTTTATAATGCTCACCTTTTACATATGTATTTCCATGGTTCTTATAACACTATTGAGAGTTAGGATTGTAAAATTATAATTTACATTAATTTAATAAAACTAACAATTATTTATTATTAAAACTTATCTCTTTCTTAAATATTATGTTTCAAAGCTAAGACATAAGAAAATCTTGGCTTAAGATCTAATAAAATTTCCTTCGAAAATTGATAAAATGTAATTTGTAGGAACATAGTTCATTAGTAAAAGATAATATTTATATAGTAGTGTTGTATCAATATAAGGTGCAATGGACTGGTATGTGATTCTGTATTTAAAGTGCAACTGTTGCGTTCAACGTTAAAGAGTATTCTAATATTAAAAATTAATATTATATCTAATTATTAATACATGAATCATATATATACATATATTTGTATAATATTAGTATGATCAATTATGAGAATTATTGTTGACATAAGAGAAAAATATGTTTGTATATATTTATGTATAATATAATGAAATCATTTTAGTTAATGTTAAGAAGTTCGTAATTGGGAACAGAATCGGTTATTCAGATTATTTATAAAACATAATTTCAATGAATCATTATATATGTATATTCTTTATTTTTTTTGAATTCTTTATTTTTTAAAACAGAATTAGGTAAAATATTTATAAAATCTTCTTAAATACACTTTTATTATTTTTTTATCAATAATTATTGTTGTTTTAATTATATTAATTATATTATTTATAACAACAAAATATTAATTAATTCAAAAAAATTGTATTTTAATATGTACAATCAAAAAAACAATTTATATCAATATTAACAAAAATTAAACTTATAATAATATTATTGTAAGTATTAAAGTTTAAAAGTAATAAATTTAGTAATGCAATATATACAAAATAAATATATAATATTTAAAATAAATAATTAAAAAATTTATTCAGTTTTTAAATGGAAATATGCATGTTTGAAATGAAATTAATTAGAATTTTATTTTATCAATTTAATAAATATAAAAATATAAATTTTTTATATAACAATTTAATAATAATTTATTCCTAATTCTGTTTAATAATTGATTAAAAATAATATATTCTTGATAAGTTTAATTAAATTTAATTGTTGATCAGATTATTATCAAACTGAATAACCGATTTTTTGATTTTGCTTAAAATATTTAAGCAGTATATACTTCCAGAAGCGACAGCTATCTACTGTATCTTATAACTATTTACATAATACATAAAGCCCAGTTTTTATACATGTCCCTTATAATATGTTCCTCAAGCACAACTTGTCTTTCCTATTGCATAATCAAATTTTGATTATCACAATTTGTACCTATACGTGCTTGAGACAAAATAGGAGACGAATTGAATGATCGCACAATCATGTATATGAGGTCCAGTTGAAGTATCGCCAAACAATATCAATATGGTATAGTTTGACATAGTATTTGATGTATATTCATTCTAATACAAACCAATTAAATCATGTATGAATTTTTAAAGTGTGCATGTATGTATGTTCACAATGCCAAGCCAACAATATTTATATTTTGAAGAAATAATAAGATAAACAAAACACAACTTTTTCATTAAAATATAAAATAAATAATATTAAAAAAAAAATTCCATGAAAGAAACAAATTTTGGAATACAGCTAAAGCCAAATTTAAAATAGTTTAATGTTCATTCTCTGAACTATACTCATGTGATAATTAAGGTAGTTTTTTCAAAATATTATTCTCAATATATTTTCGAAATAATTATTTTTTGTAAAAGTATCAAAAATTTTAAGAAGCATACATAACAGAGAATCTTTTACATATCAAATCTATTAATTTAGATCTAAGAAATCATAAATATCTACTTTTTGTCATTTGTGTACGTACAGTATAATAAACAATTTGATCTAACAAGAGAAGAATTTTAACTGGTCGTCTTCAATTTTATTGCTTTTGTACAATATTATAGATTTTTGATAATTATAATATATGTAAAATATTAGACATAGTTATTCAATACTTTTAAAAATATAAATAATTTTTTATTAAATTTATAATTTTATTTATAATTACGTCATACATAATCTTAAATCGTAACTATCATATACATATATTCGAAGCATAAGAAATTTCGATACATTATAATAAATAATTGTTTATTATATTTGCATTTCTTTCTTTCTTTAATTTATCTGGAAAAACTATTTGATATTGAAAAATATTTCGCAGAATGCTATTCATATAATATCATATTTATATAAATTGATGATAATGGATGATGGAATGAAATGCAAATTAATTCATTTGAAAACCTATTTTAAATTATATTACTAATATTTATATATATTATTAATCTATATCAACATTGTACAAAAGCTTGTTAAAATCGAAGTTAGGGTTCTTCCCTCGTAAGATAAACTTGTATCCTATTAAAAAACAAACATTGCAAGTATGTTAAATAACATATTTTTTCTATTGTAATTTGCAAATATTTTTAGATAATTTATACGTAAGTATTACGTAATATATAAATATTTACAAGTCCATTTTGTGTTAATACACAAGCAAGAAATTTTTATAAAATTAATACATGAAATTCAAGTTTGTTATATTATCGTTCGTACAATTAATCTGATAAAATATAAATCTTATTTTAAAATAAATTAGATTACAAAATATATAAATACATAAATACATAAATAAACAAAGAATTTTAGAATATTTCTGTACATATTTGGTATATATAATATTGTTTAATATATGCAAAGTATTTATCATTTATAGTAATTAGTGTCATTGAAATTATTACATGAAAATATAATTTTTAAAAGAAATTCGGAAAATTATCACATTATTAATTTTAAAATTTTTAAAATCATATTTACAGAAAAAGAAAAATATATTTCAAAAAAAAATTATATATTGGTTAAAAAAAAAATTAATTAAATCACTAAATATTATTAAATATTAATAAATATAGAATACAAATAAAAAAAATATTTAACTCAATTTTGTGCCTAGATATTTTATTAATAATATTACTTATTAAAAGTTTCTAAGAAAATAAGAATTTAAAAAAGCATTTTGAAAGAAAATAGTTTATTATGTTTTATGTATTAGAAAAAAAGAAAAAATTATAAACTAGTTACAAATTCTTTCTATTTTTATATCTATTAAAAAAAAAAAAACAAAAAAAATAGTTAGCTATTAACTTAATATTAATAAAATATAATTTGTATGGCAATAATTTTTTTTAAAAACAAATATTAATGAATTTTTTAAAAACACAAAGAATAAGTTCTTTTATTGTTTGTTTATTTGTTATTAGTGTGTTTAATAATATATTTTTTAAACAACAGAAAAAAATACTATAAGTGATAAAATGCTTTGCCTTGTATATTATCATTATCACTGCGCATTATCGACTAGTCGCAATTTAGAATTCAAAATAATATATTTAGTATAAACTCATATGCACAGCTATTAACTATTAGTTATTATAATTTTGAAAACATAGTTATTGAACATTATAAAACATATTTATTGAACATGACGATCAATGAAATATATTAAATGAATTAAATCCATGATAAATAACTTTTATCCAAGATAAAATTTTTTAATAAAATGAATTGACATATAAATATTTATTTTAGAAACTGAATCTTTCTAAAAATTATTTATAATATAATATTTAATGATTGCGCCAATTATGATATGATATTTAAAAAAAAATTCGGTGAATATTTCTTTTATACGATCTTGCAATAAAAAATATTTCTAATATTTCCTTATAGTAATCCTCTCAATAATCCAATATCCATTTGATTTGACAATCTCTGTGATAATAATATTTTTGATCATTAAATTTGATCGTTAAGTTCAATCTCCTGATTTATTTTTTGGTGATCTGATTGGTCGATAATGCAAAACTGATTTATATAACTTTTATATAAAAAGTTGGCTTGGCTCCTTCCAAAATCAGTATTAAAAAATTGTAAAACAAGCAGGTTCTAAACTTACATATTTTTGATTAAATTATTTTTTTAACAAGATCTTTCAAAATTATTAAAAAAAAAATTATTTTCATTTTATTTCAAGAATTTCTAAAAGAAATTTGTTTGTGTTCATAAATGATTTAAATTTTATGAGTGTTGTTGACAGTAATACTTATAAATAGTTGACAAACTAATATTTTATGTATATTACTAAGATTTTATAGATACTTTTCCAGGCACATAATCTAAATTATGCTTATACAAAAAGTATGTATTATATTTTATAGTTAGAAATGCTACAATAATGAAACATTTTAAATTCAAAAATTTATTAGTGAAAAAGTATTTTGATAGAGGCCAATTAAGCTTCTGCTAGTAAATATCATAATATAATGGGACCGTATTAAAACTTTATACAATATATATAAAAATATGTCGGCTTTTATGAAATGTGAGAATGCTAACATTTTGCTAGTATTGCCATCAGTTTTCTTCCTGATTCTGTGACTCTGTTGAACTACTGATAAAAATGTAATTTATTTATTGTAAATAAAAACATATATTGCTTAAAATGTTTTATATTACATGATTTGCATTAATATATAATTGATAAAATTTTGGTAAATAAAATAAAAAATTAAAAATTTCTAAGTTTATCAAGAAAAACTATGAAAAATATTTGAATCAATATATTTTAATCATGATAATTTTTTAAGATAATATCACAAATATAAAAAGTACAATTTTATGAATTACATGGATTGGGAATAAATATATACTTAATTTACTATAATTGTGTGTATTATTTTATTAAAATTATTTAATCCTTATATTTATCGTGCATCAAATACAACAACTAAATATTTATTAAGGAAAATTAATTTGCTTATTATATTTATAATTTCTAATTATATATAAAAGAATATTATAATTATATTATAATATATACATTATAAATAATGTAATATACTAATTTATTACCAACAATATTTAATAATTTTTAGTATTTTTTTATTTCAAAAAGGATACGTCTTTTAGTTCGTTTTTTGTACATGATTCTATATCCACATTCTCTGCATCGAATAGGATCTCTTGGTCGTATTTCATTATCATGGTGACATTCTATAAACAAAAAAAAAGTTGTTTGATAAAAATTAATATTATTATATGCTATTTTTATAATATAAAAATTTGCAATATCCTAAGTGTTTTTATAAAAAGCATTATTGTCTAAACAATCATAATTTAATATCATTTTTGTATTTTATAAAAAAAAATATTTTTTTCATAAGAATTTACTGTATAATTTATGATCTATATCAAATATTACTATCAAATATATAGAAATTTTTTAATAAAAATTTTATTTTTTAATATATTTTTCAAAATTGTTTATTTACATTATATTTTATAAATAATAATTACTTTAAAAATATAAGAGATAAACAAAATATAATAACAATATAAAAAATTATTTGATATGTCAAGATAGAAATACATAAAGAATAAAATACAAAATTTATAATATATGATTAAATACAAAAATATATAAATTATATAAAATTGATAAATAATTCCGTTTTTTAAATAAAAAATATGTAATGTTATTAAAAATTAAATAATATTTTATATTTTATAATATATTTATATATATTAATATACTGTCATCAATATTTGTTTAAATACAATAAAAACTTAATAAATATGTACTACATCTTCATTAATATTAAAATTTAATTCAATCATATAATAAAAAGATAAAAAAAATAACATTTATATAAAGTTCATATTTATTTTAAAAATTATATATTGTTACTTATTTAATTGCAACATGTAAAATGTGAGGTTAAAAAATCTATTTATATGTTTTTAGACATACCTCCACAAATATATACCATAGCTTGTTTTGGAGTTGATTCTGACTTGCTGGATTCCATTTTTATAAGCTTTCTATTTGTGATTTGTTCGCAAAAGAAGTTTTTATATTTTTAATAAATTTTTTGACTACAAATATAACAACATACTGTTATACGACATACTATTCACTAAACCACGTGATTCTATCTTTGTTTCTGATTGGTAACTTATTTGAGCAAACACAAGACAAGTATAAAAAAGTTATCCTTTATGACAATTTTTTAACATAATAGTTAACAGGAGTAGAATGTTTATAGTGTCAAATAAATAATTTAGTAGTAAAACAGGTATTATGTATACAGCAATATTATTGTGTTATGATGAATATTTTTACTTCTCTTTTCAATTGAAAATAACAAAACAGATCCAAATTCAAATCGTGCAATAAATGTTCATCAGCATCGGGCCTTAAGCTATAGTAATCCTGGTGTAATTGATTGAGTTTTAAAATAATTATAAAATATAACGGCAAAAATCAAATTCATTTTTGTTCATATCAAATTTAAACTATTCACTCGCGGCAAATATTTTTTATTGATTTTTTTTTATTTTTCCAGTGATCAATTTCTTTTATATGTGAAATAATTCATTGTTGAATAAAAAAAATTCACTTTTGTTACTTATTTTAGAAGAAAATGTTACTTTTGTAAGTAATTTTTTTATATAATATATAATATAAATATCATTCATAAATGATTTCCAATGAATTTATTAACATTTAAAAAATAAAATGATATATCATAAAAATTAAAAGAAGAATGAGAAAAATATAAAGAATTTTATATTTTGCCAGAATTTTTAAAAAATAATTTGATATCTATTTTTGAATGAATATTGAATACTTTATCAAAATTCTAAAATATCTTAAATATAATATGATATATTAAAAATAATAATATATTTGTATTTTTATATTTGATTTTATAATAAATTTAATTTAAAAAAATTAAAAATTTAATATTCTTTATATTTTAATAAAATAAAATTTATTAAAAGTTATTATTATATTATAACTTAAAATATAATAGAAATTAATAAAATTTTTTTTGAATATTTTCAAATATATTTTTATTTTTCTTATAATTCAATATAATTAGACATAGATTTCATTCTAATATCTAATCTGTCTGGAATGATTTTATTCAATTGTTTAGACTATATATTCAAATGAAACGTTTTAGATTGTAATATTATTATTCATTTTATTGTAATATATTTCACATTTATTCATATTTATATTAAATAATTACAAGATTAAGAACTGATATAATAAAAATAATGTGACATTTAATAATACAAAACTATAATATAAATTATTATATTGTAATATAAATATTAATTATATAAATATAAAAAAAGTTTTGTTAAAAAAATCATATATATCGATTGATGAAATATATTTATTTTATCAATGTAAATATATTTAAATAGTCAATATTTTATATTTTGATCATTAATTTGTAAATCTTTTTTTAATTTTCAATATTTCCCTTCTATATGGAATTTTTTTTTTCTTTTGAAATTTTTTTTTATTTCCTTTTAAAAACTTCTGTATGAAAAATTAGTTTTGATATTATTAATTTTTTTATGATTTGAAGTTTATTTTTTTTTCAATTTTCTAATAATGATTTGTGATACTTTTGAATATTTATATATTTTATTCTCAGAAATATTCAATAAGATTTAATTTAGATAATTATAAAGCTATTTTGATATATATTTATATTAAATAATAATTTTTTGTTGTATGTTTGGATTTCTATTATTTTGTAACTATATATGTATAATATCAAATTCCAAAAATTATATGTTTGTTCATATGAGTTCTTGTAAAATTTTTGCAAAATCATTTTCTTATTTACTTTATTAAATCGTTAACTGGAAAATTAACTTGTAACTTATTCTTAATTCATTGAAAAATATTTGTCCAGCATGTAGTTAATTTATTACAGCTAAAGATATATGTAATTAACATAAATTTTTAGTATTTTCCTTACAATTCTAATAAATTGTAATTTTGTTTAAGATTTTTTTACATATCTCTTTTTATATGTTATATAATATAATATCTAATAAATATTATCTAATAAACTAATTTTTTTAGTATCACAAAATAATTCAATAAGTTAAATTTTAAAAAAATTATCGTCTTTTAACATGCCAATATTTTTTAATGTCATTATATATAAATTTTAAAATAAATTCCACAATATTTGTTTAAGTTAGAGAAAATTCGTTGCAAAGATATTATATTGTAAAAAAAAGGTCACAAAAATTCAAAACTTAAAAGCGGTTTTGAAGCGAACTGTGTTTACATTGAATTTATATAATATATGTTGATATGAGAAATGACGAATTCAGTTTGTGTTAAGACGTCGTTTTAATAAGTTTGGTGTGCTAATTATAATTATTAGAATATAGACGATATATTCAAAAAAATTTTAAACACAAGTGCAAGTGAAAATTAATATTAAAAGTTTATAAAAAAGGAAAGTCTTACAAAAAATAACTAATCTCTTTAATAGAAGTAAAAGAATGATCTAGTATTAAAAAATGGAATATAGGAAGTTTTATAAATATCTTAAAACTCATCCGAGTAAAAATCGAAAAAAGATAATTATACGTAAAATAATCAGCTATATTATCTTTAAAATTTTATTTGAATTATACTTAAATTTTACTTAAGATATATTTTTCAGGATGATAATATTTTATAAAGTGAAACATTTTATAATTTAAAATTTTATTTATCTCGTAGAAGATTATATTCAAAATAATGAAAAATTAAAACTTTAAACCTATTCCAAAAAAAATTATATAATCCATATAATGCATATATAATCTATTAAACTTTACATGTACTCAAAATTTCATTGAAAATAAAAAAATAAAAGTTTTGTAATATATAGTATAAATATTTTTGTGAAATACATCATAAATTAATAATATTAATTTTATCGAATATTTATTTAAATGTTAAAGAAAATATTATTAAGTATTAAAAAATATTATTTATTAAAAAATTAAATAATTATGAAATATAATAATTATAAATATAATAACAAAATGTTATTAAAACAAATAATTATTAAAATATGAAATACTATAAACATAAATGTTATACAGAAATTAGTGTAAAATGTATAAAAAACCGTTTCAGAATTTTGAAATGTCTATTAATTTTTTTTAACTTTAACAAATATTATTGAAATTTATATAAAATCTTGTATTTTACGTACTATAGTTATATTTATTATATTATTATTTAGTTATATTTTACCATAGTTATAATATTGATTTTGAAAAATATAACACATATTTTTATTGTTTAATGTTTCTAATATTCGAGCCAATAGATAATAACAATTCCATGAGCTTTTCACATTTTTCTAAGTATTTATAGAAAGTTTTTTACTTCCATTTCGTCAGATATGATGTTCACATTTAGTAAAAGATTTTTTATAACTTTTTTATTTTTATTATTCAAAATCTTTTCGAAATAAATAGATAAAAATAATTCTTTAACTACATCGCGAATTACGAAGACTTTTATCTAACAAAAAGATAAATAATATTCAGTGTAGTAATTTGTAGCAGAAATAAATTATGCGACATAATACAAACAAATTTTTTTGATATAGAACAAAATATATTGGATAGTTTGAATCTTTTTTTTTTTTTTTTTTTAATTTTTTGATTGGAAATTAAAATTATATATTTTTATTTCAATACACAAATTATGTCCAAATTATTCAATGTATTCTATTCTATTCAAATTACTTATATTTAAAATATAATAAATATTATTTAAAAAATAATTTATTTATTTATCAATTAATTATTATACAGAGTATTAATTTGACCTTTAAAAGATCAAATCTAGAGAAAAACAAATGTAAAATTGATATATAAAAATATGAGATAAAATAAGGAAATAAAATACAATAATAATGTAACAGAGATAAAACGATTTTATTCTCTTTTTGTTTCGCTTTATCTAATACAAACTTTTATTAGTTTTAATTTAATAAATAAATCTTAACTGGTACCCTTGTATATTAACTCATATGTTTTTGGAAATTTGTCACCTCTAGATTGAAAGAACATTTTCGAATGATTTCTGTATTTAAGTCCTTGTATAAGATAACTATAAGATAACTAGATCAAAATTGAATATTGATTACTTCAATTTTTATCTATTATGCTTAGATTATAATATGACTATAATAATACGGATTGTGATATTTTGATGTAATTTTTAAACTTTAAAAAATATTGAAATGAAATTTTCATTAAAAAATAATTCGTATTCGAATATATTAAATTCTTTATAAGATAATTAGATCAACATTGAATATTGATTATTTTAATTTTTGCAACTCCATTGCATGCTAAAATATTCGAACTGATACATAATGTGATCCAGATTGTAGAATTTAGTGACATTTTGATGTAGAAAAATATTTTGATGAAGAAGAACATTTTAGATTTTAAAGAATATCGAAATGAAAAAATATTCTTACTAAAAAATATTAAAAAATAATTATTATCTGATTATATATAATATAATATATATATATATATATTATAATATCGAAATGATAAATATTGTATATAATATTGTATATAATATATATAATTTTGTATATAATATTGTATATAATATAAATGATATGATGTATATTATATTATACATAATCAGAAAATGATTATTTTTTTAATATATATATATTTATATGAGAATAAAAAATAATATTATTATTGTATTTAATAGATATTGCTAAATATAAAAATTCAATTAATTAATGTACCATTATATTTCAATTATATTATACCATTATATTATATGATTGAATAATGAATTTTTCAGTGATAAAATTCAGTGTCGTTATTAATTATTTATTATTAATTTTACTCTATTAGGAACTCAAAAATTTTCATTTTCTTTTTATATGAATTTATTCTTACTATATGAATGAGAACTTATGAATAAAAACAATTAATAAAATATATCTTCGTAATTTTTGAAATTTTCTTATTGTTTCTATTTCTAAATTTTTTAAAATCATTACTTTCTTTTGGTTTTTGCGATAATTGTTAAATAGGAGAATAATGTGTGTCTTTTGTTTTAAGCATAAAAACAGAATTTGACATGTAATACCATTCATAGTGAATAATAAAATATCTTGTTGTATACCGAATATATTTTTCGAATTTTTCATAATCAATTTATTTCATAAAAAGAGAAAATTAATAATACTGTGAAACTTTTTAATTAATTAATCCCTGTTATCTTTGTTAAGAGTTTTGCATTTTGAAAA